GGCAGAGGCAGCCGGGCGGGGACGGGCGGGGCGGCGGGGGGCACGGAGCCACGAACATGGGGTATGCCGCCGGACGTGGAAAGGAGGGGGGGGGGGTACAAATAGCGCGACGCCAAGCCACGCACCGCCATGGGAAGTTGCGAACGAGAATAGCTTTTGTCTTCCTGCCCAGCTCAGCACCGCCATATCCTCGCAGACCAGCGCCACGGCGTCTCACAAGACCAAACTCTAGCTCAAACATGGGGATTAACCAGTGATTCAAACTTGCTTGCAAGAGATGTGCCGAGAAGATGAGTGTACTACGTGACAAGAACGAGTGTGTGCTTCCTGTGTCACGCGCGCAGAAAAAGCAGAGCAGTTAGGAGGACAAAGAAGTATAGAGACCCACATGCCGATCTGGAAAATAAATGAAAACGAAGAGGACATGTCATGTGGGGAGGGGGCAGTCGGGGTCACGCCGTATACTGGCACCCCCATGGCCGACGACGAGCCCAGCCAGCCTGAGCGCGGCCAGCAGCGAACGCGGCCGCGGTCGTGTATGACGGCCAGCCCGCTAAGGTGCGTCGTCTCTCTCTATGTGTGTCTCTCTCTCACACAGTCACACGACAAAGTCATCGTGTCACCGACCCCTATCGTCTCCGTCCGGCAGTCCGGCCCGCCCGAGCCACAAGCTGGCTGGCTGGCTGGGCTGGTTGGTGAAGACGCGTTCGCTATCTCTGGCAATGCGGCGGGGCGGGGCGGGGCGGGGCGGGGCGGGGCGTGGCGGGGCGGGGCGGGCACAGGGGGCGGCCTGAGAACTGGTTCCACGTGGGAGCCCCACCGCGCACTTGTTCCAGCGGCAGTGCGCGAATAGGTCCGCCTAATGAATGAGCCAATGAATGAGTGAATGCATGAATAAGGGAATGAAATGATGCCCGGATGAATGGAGGTATGAGATTGAGATTCAATCGATTGCGTGGCGGTGGGGCAAAGTGTTACAAGCCCACACACTTGAGAGAGAGAGAGAGTGGCACAAACTGAAAACTAAAAACTAAAAACCTCTGCCAGAGTCGTCCTGTGTTTGTGCCGCCGGAGGTAGGTACCGATGTGCAATACCAGAAACCTTACAACTGTGGGTAAAATGCTGCGCCATAAACGCTACTCGTTGCGATTGTGCGGGGGATAAGGTTGCCCTGCTTTTGCTTTCATGAACAGGGGTCGGTCTGCCCGCCCCCAGAACCCTTCACCGCCCGGCCCGTTAGGCTGCATTGCGCTCACCTCTCCCACCGGACGGGACAAAAGCCCATAAAAGCCAATCATAAAAATAAAAAAAGGGGGGAGAGGGATGCACACTTGATAATAATAATTATTCTTATTACCTTAAAGGTACAATAATGATACGCAAACATGCGCTTTGATTCATACGGTGGCTCGACGCGGTTTCTTTTGATTCAAGAATAAAAACGTTTTTGGCAAATGCAAAAAAATTATTTTGCATTTGCATCGAGAATATTTTACTTGATATGCAACGGAAAGTCCTTCAGGAAAGTGTTATTTACATGCATCCAAGGGGCACATCTTTTTAGGAAAAGAAAACTATTTCAAAGAACTGGTCTTTCGGAGTGCACACGCCGGTGTACGCACCAACGCCAAGTTTGTTCGCGCGCCTAGATTGTGCAGGACCCAAGAGAAAAGGTGGGTTATAAAGCGAGAGAGGAAGTGACACCTGAAGACGGATAGGAAAGCTCTATGGCTCTATGGT